TATGATTATCACACAATCTTCTTATCAACTAATCCCAAAGCTTGTATCCTTTCATACCATGCTTAAATCCAACAAATATGGCCTTTCTACCTCGATGTTCCAATTTATCAGTTTTCACATGATAAAATACAGGGCACCCAAATACCTTGAGCTGGTCATAATCGCGTGCTGGCTCTCCTAACCACATATCCATAAGGATTTCCCCCTTACTCACAGATGAATACAGTCTATTAATGAGGTGCCTCGCATATGAAAGTGTCTCGGCCCAAAATATCTTCTTCAAACCACTCTACGATAACAAACATCAGACATTCTCCAGTAAAGACCGATTCAATCTCTCTGCCACCTCATTCTGCTACGACGATGACTAACTGTGAAGTGTCTCTCTATGCCCTCGTCTCGACATAGCTGCTAAAAGGGGTCTGAAGTGTACTCGTCGCCGTTGTCGGATCTCAATGTCTTGATATTTCTCCCGTCTGTAGTTCTAATCTCCTCTTCCACTCCACAAATATCCTTAGGACTTCACTCTTCTTCGCCATGATGTACACCCAACAACGCCTAGAATAATCATCCACAAACGTGATGAACCAATATCGACCACCAAGTGATGCTATCTTGGTGGGACCCCAAACATCTGTGTGCACGTAGTCCAGGATGTCCCTCGTCCTATGAATGGCTATCCCGAACTTCATATTTGTCTTCTTGCCAAGAACACAGTGCTCACAGAATTCAATCTTTCCACTTTTGACTCCCTCCAATAGCCCCTGCTTGCACAATACCTCCAGTGACTTTTACCTGTGTGCCCCAACCTGTAGTGCCAAAGTCTGCTCGTGTCCGCCTCTAAAACAGCTGAAGCTACCTGGCCAATCTCGGTGCTTCCTTTCAGATAATAAAGATTTCTACTGCGAACTCCCTTCATCACTACCAAAAATCCCTTAGTAACTTTTGCTACAACATTCTCAAAAATCAACTTGAATCACTTTGCTTCCAAAGTTCCAACGGAAATAAGATTCTTCTTTAGCTGAGGAACAAATCACAATTCATTCAACTCACGAACAACTCCATCATGCATCTGAATCCTGACGGTACCTATCCCACAAATACTTCAGGATTGATCATTTCTCATGACCACCACACCCCCATCGAGTTTCTCGAACGATGCAAACCAATCTCACCGGGGAGTCACATGATAAGTAGCGCAGGAATCCAACATCCAATCCGATGCATCCGCATGGTTCACTTCTGGAGTAATCAATAGAGAAAAGCATGAGTCATCTGAATCATCACATTTAGTGATGTTCACCACATTAGCCTTCGGGCCCTTTTTCTTGCTATTCTCCTTCTCTTTGAGCTTTGGGAAATCTCTCTTCCAATGTCATTGTTCTTTGCAAAAAGCACACTGGTTTTTCGCTGATAGGTAGTGGCCTCCAGACTTTGACCTGTCTCAATTGCCACCTCTTGGATATGGGCTCATTCCTCCTCAAATCGTAATTCGTCAACGCATTAGTCACTTTACGATATGTGATGAAAGATCTACCGTTCAACAAAGTGAGCACGAAGATATCATACTCCTCATCGGGTAATGAGCCTAACAAAATAATCACCTTGCATTCATCCGTTATCTTCTCATGAACGTTCGCTAAGTCCGACAACAACTTTGTATAGTTGTTCACATGATCTGCAAGTGAGATACCTATGGACATCTGGAATCTGAACAATCTTCGCAGCAAGTGCAAACGGTTCTCAACACTCTTCGTAAGATATTTATTATTGAGAATCTCCCACATCTTCATCGCAGACGTCACGCCAATCACATCGTATTTTAACTCTTGTTCTAAACAAGATCTAATTATCCCACAAACGTTTCGATTCATCTTGTCTCATATCGCCTTATCATACTTCGGTGGCCTCTCATAGACCATGATGGTTTCTTCCAAATTTTGAGCATTCAGTGCATCTTGCACATCACTCACTCACAAATCAAAGTTGATTTTATCGTCATACTTCACAACACTAATCTTTATATTCTGAAGTACAACTTGAACTGTACTCGTCATCGCCTTGCTGCTTTCACTAACTTCTTCTCCCATTGCAAACTAACTCTAATTGTAAAGAAAGATTCAAACTTTGATAGAATTGAGAAATTACCAACTGAACCTTAGAGGATTCCAGAACGATTTCCTAACCACACGAGGAAAGCGAGATCTTCAACGGCAACTCTGCAACGCTATCTCCACCAAAGCCTAGATCTGCAAGAACCAAGCTTCCAACAACAAATCTTCCTCCACCCAATACAAAATCCTAGATCTGAAAATCTGAGCTCTGATACCACTTATCACGTGCCGTGGGGAAGCGTGCCCGGGAACCAAATAAGTCGGCGAGCGATGAGAGAAGAACCAAACAAAACACGAGTGTAATTCACAAAATGACATCTAAAATCACACACAAACACAGAGATTTACGTGGTTTGACAATTGCCTACGTCCACGAGGAGAGGATGAGCAGATTTCACTATATGGAGGAGAAACAACAGGTTACAATCTCTCAAACAACTTTCAAAATAACCCAACCAATGATATGTCACTCCCTCACAATAATCTTCCTCTCAAAGTGCTCAAAAGAACCCAAATTCTCTGTTCAAACTCTCTCTCTTAACCCTAGAAACATGTGTTTCTATTTATAGCAAACCCAATCCAAAACAGGGTGGGAATCTGAAAACGAGTCTGCCACACCCGGGTGTAACACGCACCACACCCCTGAGAACATGACAGATTCTGTCACACCTGGATGTGTCACGCACCACACCCAGACGGCTGAATTTTCACGTTTTTCAACACTTTGAACAATTTGACGCCGTTTTCTACAAGATGGACACTAAATAAAGATTGAAACTAATTAACTCGAAATGTTATTCAACAAAATTTCCTATTTAAGTTTGTTACTCTTTCTCCTTTCTTCTAATATGGAACGTATTGTACTCGTACATGAAATTAGCAAAGAATCATACTACCGGTTTACAACTTCTTCAATCTTCAAGTAATTTTCCTTCAAAATTAAACTTCAATATGACCCTCGGACCTCCATATATATTATATATATATATATTTATATATATAGTATATATATATATATTATATATATATTATGAAGGTTCTCCTTACTTTCAGTGGAGCTTCAAATATCACTGTGACACCAATATACTTTATTCTAAATTTCTAACTAGGGCAAAATTACCTTAACATTGGACTACAAATAGAAAAGGGAATCAATATCTTTTGCGTATGCATCAGCACAATGGACCCCAAATTGCAAAAAGAGGCAGATCAAATCTGTTACTTTTGCAGACAGCAACATGACACCAACTTTATTGGCTTTTCTTTAAGCCATATTGAAACTAAAGACAACAGTGAGGGAAAAAACTTTTGAGAGAAGAATTCCAGATGATAATATCCTTAATAGATTGCGTTATGAACACTGGGCTCATGTGCAGAAGCACCACAAGATATAAGGGGGTTTTCAACATTAGTCCCCCAAATCTTTCATATATATTTCGCAATTAGTCCCCAGTATCTTTGTATTTTGTAATTAGTCCCTCAAATCTTTTAAGTGGCTTGAAATTAGCCCCTCTAGTTAGAGACTTGCTGAAATTAACGAAATATTTGGTCGTCTTAAACATTTTTGTAGTAATACAGTTATAACTTTATGCATTCAAACCCAAAACCATTTAAACCCCTATCCGTTTGAAAAAGGAAAAGAAAACCCAAATTAATTTATTAAACAGTTTACTCCTCCAACAACTCTCCTTTCCATAACGGAATATCACGAGGGCAATTTGGTGATTACCCATCTCTAGTTATCCACTAACCAAACGGTGATTAACAATTTGGATGATAAATCTAACATAGAGATTAGAGACTATTTTTAAAACACTAGTGAAAACTAGGGTTTGTCGCATGTACAACACCAATATCTCCTGAATAAGGGTCATTACTTTTTTATCCATAATTTGGAGAATAACTTAATCTTTTCTAGTGACGCTGAGAGAAAAAATTAATTTACCATCACGTGACCCCTACGTGTCATCTCAACCAAACAGGAGAAATGATGTCGTCTAGAATATCACCCTATTAGTAAATGTAGTGTATCAGTAATTAACCCTAAAAAATAAGCATGCAGGTTCTATATATCTACAGCATATAAGAGATAGGTAGATACCAAAATAACCAGTAATGCAGAATTATCTTGCCTCAGAAGCAAAGAATTGGTGATGACGATTGAACCAGGACAGCAGAGCTGTTGGGCTTAGCAAAACTGGTTAGTAATGATAAAAAGTTCTGTAATTATGATTTATTTGATGTTCATGAATGAATTTAGCTTTGCGTATAACAGTTTACAGACAACAAAGCTTATGTAAAAGCTTCTACAATGTACCTTTAATGTTAATCAGCAAATAATTTAATTTTGAATTGGGGCAGGCAAAGTAATTTTTGAGAGATGAAGAGAGAGTTTTACCCATATTTGATTGTTATAATTTCACACTCCAGTACAGTATTACACTAAAAATTTGAAGTTGTGGTGAGGTTTATAATTTATACTCTTAACGTATCTTTGCGGGTTGAATATCTTTTTCATGGGTCGAAACCTAGACTCATATAGTGGTATTTGTAATACATACACTCTGAGACCTTATTAAAAGTTGCTTTCATTACACAAAAACTCAATAATGATAAGGACCCAGGGTTAAAATTTTAACATCCAAGACTGATGCAGAAAATCAAGGGCTCCTTATAAGTTCCTTGAGAAGGATAAAAGACAAATTACTACTTAAATGGATGCTCTTCACTCTAATAGACCATAAGAATATAGAGATCCATCCCCAAAAACATCGTATCTCCTTTGAGCCTTCCTTTTAACTGTCACAATAATACAAAACGAAGATAACAGAGTTAAAACATAAAAATTGTCAATCTAGTACCATGCTTTCCTATTATTCAGAGAAAATTTGTTGAGGGTTTAAATCCTGGTTCAATTAACAATAAATTAGTTGCGCCAAGCTGCTTTCATATATGAGTAAACGGGGCTTTGTGTCCTTTCATATCTTTGATTGATGTTCTGCTGACATGACACACATCTAGACGAGTGCAATCTTGATGATCAACATACACGTATCATAGCATATGGCTTAAGTAGTTGTTGCGTCAATGGCACACAAGCCAAGAGTGTGGCAAACCAAGCCTTATTTACTTCTCATATACTGTTAGTAGATCTCAATCATTGATGATGTGGTAGTTTTAATTCAACATGAAACACCCCCAAAATCTTCCCAAGGCATTTCCAATCAATTGGACTATCTTTTTGCCTCGTATTCAAAAGCTAGGCTTCAACATTTTTATAATAATCTTTTTGTTTGCTTGATATTGTATTTCCTTTGATTGTTTTTCATGTTTATAGTTATATGTTGCATTTTATGTTTACAGGTAGATGGAGCATTTAGTATAGTCAATCAATCCAAGATTTGGACATCAATTTAAAGATAAATTCATCAAGTATATCAGAATATGATGTATATGTTGATTCTTCATATTCTTGAATGTGTATGAGGAGCATGACAAACTCAATATAACATGCAAATTTTAAGTGAAAAAAGGACACTCTTACAACACTTACAGTGAAATAGCTTCAGTAGCATAAGGTTTTTCCTACTTCATGAAGGAGACTCTTGGTTTTCCTGAAGATCACCGGTCTTAGCTTTTCCTCTCCTCCGACGAACAATCATGGCATCATCACTAACTAACCGATGATGCACCATATCTATAACCCGTGACTGCAAGTGCTGATTTATGGAGTTTATGTGCTTCGTCATGTTAAAGATCCATAACCGGTTCTCAATGCTGGTTCCAATCTTCACTTGGATCATCTCGGGTGTCCTTCCATGCTAACAAAAAGAGGACTCCAGCAAACCAGTATATAAAAGTTGTTCGGAAAGTTTCATCAAAACCCCCAAAATTTGGGGTTTTTGCACAAACTCCTCTAGGCTTTATAAATCAGAGACAACCCCCCTGAAACTCATTTCAGTAGCATGACTGACAGCGGTTATTTTAACTTCCCATTAGACCATTTCACCCCTATCTACTAAATTTAACTTCTACATTACTCTCTTTGAGTAAGGATACGTAAAACGTAAAAAGTAAAAAGGTTAGTTTCGACATTTTTCTCGATTCGCTAATGCCGTTTATGAGAATTTAGAATAGTTCAGGGGGGTTCAGTATAATTTTGAAAGTTCAGTTGGGTTTCTGTGACTTGTGAAGTTCAGGGATTCGTGCATAACCCCACAAATTCAAGTAGGTTTTGTGAAATTTACCAAAAGTTGCCACATTGGACCAATGCCCAGTTCTATCCAAGAATCACAAATGAATCAACATTTAGAGATTAAAGAGTTACCTCGGTGTCAAGAATTTGCTTGTTTAGGAGACTGGACGACAGCGAATAGGTGGCAGAGGGATGACCTTCATGAAAATTATATCCTGATAGAAGAGTGACTATCCCTGTTTGTGCATTACTCAGTTGACAAGTCTTTTCCAATTTAGAAAATTTAGGCTGAAGGTGAAGTCCCTGGTTTTCCTTTGTTGCTAAGAGAGATGACTTTGGAATCACTATTAAGTTTGTTATATGACCTGTGAAAGAAATAGAGTTAATTAAAGAGACTGAGATGATAGGATATAAAATGCAAGAATAGAACCTAATCACCTTTTTCGTGAGTAAACCTTCGGATGAGTTGCCAACTCTGTACATCCCAGAGACAAGCGGTGCAATCCTCTGATGCAGAGATCAAGAATGATCCTCCTGAACTGAAAGCTAGAGCAGTGATGGGGCCTCTACATGTACAACGGAAAGTTTTGACATAAAATACCATACAACTTTGAGATGACTAGCCTATATATTGAAAAACTCAAAACATTATACTCGTGTCCGAACAACACTCCAGATTCATCTTCTGAAATCGTGATTTGGTTTTCTTGGAGACCAAGATCAAGCGCATTGACATATATCTTCCCATCTTCTCTTCCAGCAAACAGCAGCTGCTCTCCTGGATCAATGGCAATTGCGGTGATAGCATCTGAAAATACATGGTTTTGCAGTAGTCTTCCTGAAACGAGGTCCCATACCTATAAGAAGACGATGAAATTCACATTTATACAGAGATGCTAAAGGGATAGAGATGACAAGAACGAAGTCTTTCATTCCTAAGTTTAAATTGTTTAACTAACCATGCATCGTCCATCAAGGGAGCTTGACAGTAGTGCGGGACCAAATCCACCAGATACTGACACAAAACCAGTTATGGAGGAACAATGCTCTGACCAATTTTGAAGCGAAGGCACGCTTCCGCCACATTGAGGGTCTTCAGTGTGCAGTAAACTTCGTGCATATAGAATATGTGAAGCCCTTATTAAGGCAAAACTATAAAAAGATAATAACAGACTAAAAATGAGCAAAGAATGAATTGTCGTTACCTGATCAGTAACCATACACACATTGTGCCATCCTCAGCACCAGATACAACAAATGAATCATCATGAGAAAAGGTTAAACAGCACAAAGGCTTATGATGGGCATGCCATTTTTTGAGCAATCTTCCACTTGTGACCTACCAGGGTGCGTGTTGACTATTAACATTGTGTTCATGCACAATTGTCTAGTCATAATAAAGTCATCCAAAGAAGGAACATTTTAAAGGACAAATACATGACAGCCAAACTTTCACATAACATTCTTTAAGGGGGGTAAATTTCCAAGAACCCAAAAATTTTGCGCAGTTTCCCACGAAACTTATCCTAAACTTTGTTTATTCTGCTAAATGCCCAAATTTTTCTCACGAAAGCCCCCAAGTTATCACCTTTTAATTTAACCCACCTACACCACGCATGTGACTTCAATAGACTAAAAATACCCCAGTAACAATAATGGCTCAACTAGCCAACATTCCAGCACGGATAACGCTGTATGAGTTACTGCGGTTGTCCAAGGAAACAAGAGAGGCCTTGCAAGAAGCTTTGGCCAATTCAGAGGTGTTTCTGACTCAAGTCAAGCCGGTGCCTGAAAATCCAGAACCGCTGAGTCAGCAATGCAACATAGCGACAAAGAACCTTCCCTGCATTACTTTCACCAAAGAGGATATGCAGACGAAGAATTCGAACCACGATCGACCGCTATACTTCATCGGGTACATCGGCTCCAGCAAAGTCAACCGAATCCAAGTGGATCCGGGTTCTGCTGTGAGTATTATGCCGCTTCGCTTGATAAAGAGCCCCCCCCCCCACCCCACCTCTGCATATATATGTGTGTATAGAGTTGAGCTAGGCTACTACTAATAGTATCCAACATGCTTATACTATCAACCTAATTTTGAAAATCAAAACCCAAAATGAAAATCCAAACTGGTAAATCTGATCTACTACATGTGAACTAGTTAGAAACAGAATTTCAAATGAATTCATGTGTTTTGAATTATATATCATGAGGCGAAAATTAACCAACTACATAAAAATTTTGAAACATTCATTTTGACGACATGTTTTGCATGGGTTAATGATAATGAAATCTGTATGTTTGGATACTATTAATAGTAGCCTAGCTCAACTATCAAATCAGCTCCGTACATCTTATTCAAAACATCATCAAATGTACATGATAAAATTTTTATAAAATTTGGAGTCTTCTTGAATATGAATCAAGTTTAATATGTTGATTTTTCAAACACTTAATAGCTATCTCTTTTTCATATAGATAAAATAATGATCAAAACTTTCTACGTATAGATCATGTGGGGTGTAAATGATATAGTTTTTTTGCATGTATCATGTGTTGAATAGCAGATTCCTAATATGTTTCCTAATTTGTTTTGGTAACAGGTTATTGGGATTCCTAATCTGTTTTGGTAACAGGATTCTTAATCTATTTTGGTAACAAGTTATTAGGATTCCTAATCTGTTTTGATTTTGGTTTTAGAATTCCTAGTATGTTTTTTGTTTTAGGATTTCTATATTGTAGAAAGAGATAATTGAGAGAGTAAAACCCTAACTTAATTAATTTATTCAGATACTAGAGATATATATATATATAGTCATACAAATAAGGGTATGGTTAACAGGTCACAGCCCATTAACCCAATACCCAATAGACTTAATCTAACACTCCCCCTCAAGCTGGAGCATAAATATCCAACATGCTCAGCTTGTCACATATAATAGAAAACACCTTTGAAGAAATAGCCTTGGTAAGAATATCAGCAAGTTGTTATGAGGATGGAGTGAATATGAGACACACTATCTTCTTCTCCCAAGCATCTCTGACAAAATTGCAGTCAACTTCAATATGTTTTGTCCTCTCATGAAATACAGGATTCTGTGCAATGTAAATGACAGATTGGTTGTCACAATGCATAGGCATGGGTCCAGGTTGAACAAAACCAAGTTTTGTCATAAACTTTCGTAACAACACCATCTCACAAGCAGTGTGAGCTATTGCTCTATATCCGGCCTCTGCACTAGACCATGATACTACATCTTGTTTCTTGCTTCTCCAAGTCACAAGATTACCTCCAATAAAAATACAGAATCCTGAGGTTGACTTCCGGTCTCCCACATCTCCTGCATAGTCAGCATCAGAGAAAGCAGAAATGTGAGTATGCTCATGCTTCTTATATAGCAATCCCTTACTAGAACAACTCTTGATATATGCCAAAATCTTCAGAGCAGCTGTCCAATGAACTTCTCTAGGTTTGTGCATAAACCTACTCAGTACACCCACTACAAAAGTAATATCAGGTCTGGTAACTGTCAAATAGATTAGTTTACCAATCAGTCTCCTGTATCGTCTAACATCATCTAGTAGAGAGGTATCATCACGCCACAAATCAATATTTGCCTCCATTGGAGTGTTTGAAGGTTTGCATCCTGAGAGACCTGCTTCTTCTAGTAAATCTAACGCATACTTCCTTTGGGACAACAATAGGTCATGTCTTTGATATGCAACTTTAATCCCAAGAAAATATTTTAGCTTTCACATGTCCTTAGTGACAAAATGATGGTTTAGATACTCCTTTGTCTCTACTAAGGTAACAGAGTCACTCTCAGTGAGCAGAATATCATCAACATAAACGGCTAAAATAACCAAACCAGTTGTTGTGCGTCGAAAAAAGACAGAGTGATCAGAATGGCAGCGTTGGAAACCAACACTAGAAATAACATTGCTGAATTTATCAAACCAAGCTCGAGGACTCTGTTTTAACCCATAGATGGCATTTTTCAGTCTGCAGATAATATTCTCTCCCTGAGCAACATACCTAGGAGGTTGCTCCATATAAACCTCCTCGTCCAAATCACCATAAAGAAAAGTATTCTTCACATCTAGTTGATGCATCTTCCAATCCAGATTAACAGCCAGAGAGAAGAGAATTCGAATGGAGTTGAGACACGCAACAGGAGAAAAAGTCTCAAAATAGTCAATACCATATGTCTGGGTATATCCTTTAGCAACCAGACGAGCTTTATATCTATCAACAGATCCATCAGGGTGATATTTCAAGGTATACACCCATCTGTAGCCAACCACAGTCGCTTCAGTAGGTAGAGAGACCAAATCTCAAGTCCCTCTAGAAAGCAGTGCATTCATCTTCTTATCCATAGCCTGCTTCCAGACGGGTACTAACAAAGCTTTCTCATGTGACCTAGGTAAAGATATAGTGGACAAGGACAAAGCAAACTGACGAAAGGATGGGGTGAGACGATCATAAGAGACAAAAAGAGAGATAGGATATTTTGGGCAAGACCGTTTACCTTTACGAAGAGCAATAGGAACATCTAAGTCAGAAGAGATATGAGGCTCGACATGAGATGGACCTGTAGCTGGAGAAGAAGAGTCAGCAGACATCTAAGTCAGAAGAGATATGAGGCTCGACATGAGATGGACCTGTAGCTGGAGAAGAAGAGTCAGCAGGAGCAGAGACATGTATATGTACTTTAGGACGACGAGAGTATGTTAGTAGAGGCTTTGGTGCAGTAGCCACAGGAGCAGATACCTGAATAGTAGTGGGAGCTGTAGAAGGTAGTGGTACTTGTGGACTGACAGAGATAGTGGAACCAGAGGAAAAATATAGGACAGACTCAAAGAAGGTAACATCAGCAAAAATAAAATATCTCCTGGTGATCGGATGATAGCACCTATACCCTTTTTGAGTACGTGAGTATCCAACAAACACACACTTAATGAACCTAGGAGACAATTTATCCAACCCAGCAGTTAAATCCTGAACAAAATACGTACAACCAAAAACTCGAGGAATCACAGAAAAACGTTTTTTAGCAGGATAAAGACAGTGGAATGGTATCAAACCATCAAGAACAAAGGAAGGCATTCGATTAATCAAATAACAGGCAGTGAGGACAGCATCAGACCACAAGTACTTTGGAATATTCATATGTATCATCAGTATTCTAGCAACATCGAGAATATGTCTATGCTTCCTCTCGGCAACTCTATTTTGTTGTGAAGTGTGAGAGCATGAAGTTTGATGAATAATACCATTAAGAACACAAAATTTTGAAACCTCATTTTTCATATATTCCAAACCATTATCAGTACGAAGAATATGAACAGAAGTAGAGAACTGGGTTTTTATTTCATTATAAAAAAGTTCAATGAATATGAACAGAAGTAGAGAACTGGGTTTTTATTTCATTATAAAAAAGTTCAATAACATGCGAGACTTTAGACCTCTCTTTCAACAAATATTCATTATAAAAAAGTTCAATAACATGCGAGACTTTAGACCTCTCTTTCAACAAATATAGCCAAGTCATGGAGAGAAATCATCAACAAAAATAATAAAATAACAAAAACCCTTCACAGAGGGAACACGACAAGGACATCAGAATGAACTAACTCAAACACAAAACTACTGTGTTTATTGACACGATTTTGAAAAAAGCACGATGGTGCTTACCCAGTTCACATGACTCACAACCTAAAGAAGAAAGAGAAGACTAAACAGTAACTACCGATCTAAGTTTCTGTAGTGAAGGATGACCCAGACGCCAGTGCCACAGTAAGGTAGAATCAGGCTATACTGTAACAAGACCAGCACCCGACACACTGTTGTCCAAATAGTACATACCTCCTCTCTCATGCCCGGAACCAATCGTCATCCCGGTTGCTAGGTCCTAGAAAACACAATAAGAAGGAAAGAAGGTGACTTTACAGTTATTGTGCTTTGTAAACTTGCTAATGAATAATAAGCTAACAGGAAATTTAGGAGCATATAACACATCAGTGAGTTTCAAAGAGGAAGTAGCATGAACTACTCCAGCACCAAGAACTGAAGAAAGTGTACCATCAGCGATGCGAATAGAGGAAAATTATCAAAAAGATGTAAAGAGACAAAACGATCCTTTATACCTGTCATATGGAATGAGGCTCCAGAATCTAGTACCCATGGTTCATGAGGAGAAGCTATGTAAGCATCCATACCTGAAGAGGATGCATGAGTAGCCGAATGATTGTTCTGAGAGAGCTCTAACTGGCATAACCTCTCATAATCTGCCTGAGAGATCTGAACAGTAGGAACAGTAGCGACTGGTTTACTAGAAG